GGGGGGGGGGGGGGGGCACCCCCTCCACCCTCCGCAGCCCTGCAAAGCCCCGCCCTTTGTGGTCCACGCTCCTGAGGGGCTGAAGACAATGCCGGTTTTCTAGGAGCCGAGGGGCCTTCTGAAAGGCCGGCCTCCTGGACCTCTGCTGATCCAGCCCATCCCCGCAGATTCACCGCCCACCTTTATTGCCAGCCTCTTCCTTCAAGCCAGACTCACCCCAACCTCAGCACAGAAGCTGGCTTCCCTTCCCAAATGCTGCGAGTCCCTGGGTGATCCTTGTGCCCCAGGCCTGCTGGAGCCTGAGGCTTGCACCATCCTCCTCCTGTGGTGGGCCGGGGCCCCTGGCCTGCTCTCCGCCCTCCCCTCTGTGAAGCCTCCCCCTGTGCTAATGGGAGACTGCCCTTCCAAACGGCTGCTTTTTCTGGCTCAAGGCCTGTGTGTCCACCATTTCTGTGTTCTCAGCTCAGGGCCTGCCCGGCAGAGATGCCCAAACCTTTGTTCAACGATTAGGTGCCTAAGAGAACAACCAGAGAGAAAAACCAGAGAATTGGGGCCAGAGGTTGTCTCTGCCTCCGATTAGCTGTGCGACTGTGGATAAGCCTCTGATGACAACAGTCTCAGTTTCATTAACCGAAATGGGGAAACACTGTCAACCTCAGAGGACTGCGGGAAGGGTGGCAGGAGCGACTGTGTGAGAAGGGCTCTGTGAAGTGTGAAGCTCTGCGACGTCGGGTGGGTGACGTCTGGGACCTGAACCGAGTCTCCACAGCTGGCAGCTGAGGTTCTCGGCGGGCTGAGGGGGTTCCCTGGAAGACAGCCAGGCATCTGCAAACCCTACCGAGCACGCACTAGGGGTAGGGCGCTGGGCCAGGTTTGGAAGGAACCCAAGGAGAGGAGAAAGGCGGGCCCTACCCTTATGACGCCTGCACCGAGTTTCAGGTTGGCCCATCCTTCGGTGGAGAGCATGAGCTGCGGCTGCCATGGTGACGTCAAAGCAGAGGCCCTGCAGTGCTGGCACTGTCCAAGGCATCAAGCAGGGCCGGTCGGTCCTGAGGATGGAGGACAGGCTGGGGCACAAGCAGGGGGTCGGGGCTGGGAGGGCGCTGTCATGCTCCAAGGTAGCCAGGGCCTGTCTCTCCTCCTGAGGCCTCTCCCACCAGGCCTCCTCTTCACCCCCAAGCTCTCACATGCGTGCCCAGCCGGCCTCAGGGGGGCAGCCAGAGCCCGGACCTGGCTGCCGGGGTTTCTGGATTCTAATCCCGGCACTTCCACAAATTCTAATGAGACCCAAAGGAGAAGGAAAGCAATGGTCATGGCACAACCTCTTGCTGCCGACCCAAAAAGCAGCCCTCAGACTCTCTCACTGAATTCTCACGACCTTAAGACTTCACAGTGTAATTCCTGGATGTGCACCAGTTTTTGAACTTAGCTCTGTGTGATTTCAAATAATAGTTCAAATAACTGTTCATTGAGTGCTTACCTGGCACTGTGTAAGCATTAACACATTTATTATGAAATACATCAAGCACTCAAACAAGCGCAAGAGTAATAACAACCCCAGGCACCTCACCTCCACCATTTCATACAATCCTTGCAACGCAACAGGGTAGGTGGAACAATCTCCATTTCACACCTGGGAAAACTGAGGCCCCAAGAGGCAACGACCAGGTGCTATAACCAGGCATGGCAAGGCCAGGATGCGGAGTCAGACTGGGCTCATAGAGTCCAAGCTCCCCCTACCCGACTCCTAATTGTTCTGAGTCAGCTTGCTCATCTGCAAAATCAGAGTGGTGGACGAGACCAGTGATTTTCAAGCTTTTTTTAGCCACGGACCCTTTGTTCAGTTGAAGTCTTAAGTGGAGAGAGAACACGTCAGATGGACGAAGACCTGGGGCTCTGCTGGAGTGAGTGTGGGAAGGGGAAGGGGGCTGCAGTCCCACCAGCTGGGCTCCTTCCCCACCCCCTGCCCCCAGCACGTGCTGCTGGAGCTCCAGGACTTTGGGCCCTGAGGGAACTGTCTGCTGACCCCGCCCTGTCAAGCCCCCGTGTTTTTGCTTTAAGCCTTGGCCTTTCCCATGTGTCCTCTGCTCTGAGTTCTCTAGGGCAGGGGTTCCCCAGCTCCCAGGCCTCGGACTGTTACAGGTCCCCAGCTTGTTAGGAACAGGGCCGCACAGCAGGAGGTGAGTGGTGAATGAGAGAAGCTTCATCTGCTGCTCCCCATTGATCACATTACTGCCTGCACCATCCCCCACACCCCACCCCCCCCCCCCCCCCCCCCCCCCGCAACAGTGACTATTTACTGAGCCAGGCACCAAGCCCTGGGGAGGGGCAGCCCGGGGGCTGGTGGCCCTCACAGGTCGTCCAGGGAGGGGTTCTCAGAGCTCTGCAGCAGGGACAGCAGGTTCAGGGCCGAGACGTTGGGCACATGGCCGGCGCAGATCTGAAGCATGCGGACCAGGCGCTGCGCCATGGTGTCTCGAAAGTCTTCTATCTGCAGAGGAAGAGCAGAGAACAGCGGTGAGGGGCCTGCTCCTCTCACGTGGAGCAGCTCCGCGGGCTGCCCGGGGGAGCAGGGTGCTGAGATGTGGGGACAGCTCAGGGCACCGCTGCCCAGCATGGCCACGCCCTTGTCCGCGCCACACATCGCCAAGCCGTTTCCAACCACCTAAGTTTACCGAATCCTTCAAACACCCTCCAGGGATACCAGAGACGATGACCCTTGCTCCAGAAGAAATGAAGGCCCCGCAAGCTGGGCTGGCGAGGTTAGGCCAACTGTCCAGAGGCACACAGTTAGTGACTGCAGAGCTGGCATCTGAACCAGGGCTAGTCCCAACCAACGCTGGGGTACAGTAGGCCCCAAAGGCTTCCCTACCTGGGATCTGTCTGAGAAAGACGCTCACAGGGGTAGAAAGGAGGGGTGGGTAGAGAGTGGCTCTTTCCGAGGACAGGGAGGCACTGTCAACAGACGGTTCCTATATCAGGGTCTCTGAAGGGCTGGTGGGCCCAGAGGAGCCGTGGGATTAGGCAGGGGTGACTGTCCTAGGGCCTGGCATCAGATGGCGCGGGCAGATGAGGTGCTCATTATAAATGTTGAAGAATAAACAGTGATGCTCAGATGTTCTCCCCTGACCAACAGGTGGCCTCAGAAGCATCTCCCCCTTCCCCTGTTCCCTCTCTAACTGGGGAAAGGGCGCCACCATCCACCCAGTCACCCAAGCTAGTGATCAGGCATCCTGACGTCCTCCACCATTTGCCACGCACGACATCCTGGGTTTTAAATCCAGAGGCGACGTCAGTCCTCATCACATGGCCTCAACCGCACTGAGTCTCCTCTCAGCAGAATCTGACGCAGCTGCTCCCTCCCCTTGACAAGTCTTTTCCACCTGGCTCCCAGGACCCCACCCTCCGCAGCTTCTCTCTCACCCCACAGGCCGCTCCCTCCTCTGTGTGACATCTAACTGCTGGGGGTCCCAGGGCTTGGCCTTTGCGCCTCTTTCCCCCACACTCGGTCCCCAGGTGATCTCATCCAGCTCTGTGACCTTCAAACCATCTAACTGCTGAGGATGCCCAAACTGCATCTCCAGACCTTTCCTCTGAATGTTAGACACACACGTGCCGCTGCCTGCTTGGCTTCTGTGTAGACATATAACAGACTCCTCAGTCTTAGTGTGTCCACGACGGAGCTCCTGGGAGTCGCCCCCCATCTCAGCCACAGGCAACCCCATCCTTCCAGCTGCTCAGGCTGAAAACGCCGGAGTCGACCCTGACTCTTCTTCCTCTCCCGTCTCCCATCCAGGCCATCAGCACACGTGCCCCCCCCACCGCGGGAACACCCAGCATCACAGACCATCTCATCTCCCTCTTCCCCAGACACCACTGAGCCCGGCCACTCCTAACTCTTCCGGACACAGTCCCCGGGCCCATCGCCTTCCTTCTGCCCCTGTGTCCCTTCAGTCCACTCCTCCCGACAGTTGCAGGGACCCACTTAAAACCCGAGTCAGGCTGTGTTCCCCCGGCCCAGACCCACACTTTCCACTGCTCCAGTCTAACTCAGAGTGAAAGCCACCACCTGTCCTACGACCCACAAAGCCCCACGGTCACTCTGACTCGTCTCTCACAGCTCTGCTCCAGCCACCCATGCCTCCCTGTGGACCTTGAACACAGCAGGCAAGTTCCAAACTCAGGGCCTTTGCACTTGCTGTTTCTCCAACCTAGTGGGCCTTTCCACCAGGAGACTCCACAGTGCCTTCCTTCAAGTCTTTACTTAAAGGTCATTTTTTTTTAGCGAGCCCCTTCAACCCCCATGTAAATCTTGCCACTTTACCTCCACCTGACAGGTCACATCCATTCTCTAACATGCCCTATGTTCTGCTCCCTCTCTTTGTTTCCTCCACTAGACCAGAATTGGGAGTTTTAAAACTGTTCTGCTCTATGCTGCTTCCCTAGTGCCTAGAACAATGCTCGGCGCACTGTAGGTTACGTAAGAAATACTTGTTTTATTTTTTTTAATTAATGTATTTATTTTGGCTGCGTTGGGTCTTCGTTGCTGCGCGCGGGCTTTCTCTAGTTGTGGCGAGCGGGGGCTACTCTTCGTTGCGGTGCGCAGGCTTCTCATTGCGGTGGCTTCTCTTGTTGCAAAGCATGGGCTCTAGGCACGTGGGCTTCAGTAGTTGTGGCTCGTGGGCTTCAGTAGTTGTGGCATGCGGGCTTCAGTAGTTGGGGCACGCGGGCTTCAGTAGTCGTGGCTCACGGGCTCTAGAGCGCAGGCTCAGTAGTTGTGGCACATGGGCTTAGTTGCTCTGCGGCATGTGGGATCCTCCCAGACCAGGGCTCGAACCCGTGTCCCCTGCATTGGCAGGCGGAGTCATAACCACTGCGCCACCAGGGAAGTCCAAAAATACTTGCTGAATAAGTCCTCTGAGCTCTGCGGCCTCCACCTCTGAACTGTCCCTCCAAACTCCTGCTGCTCTCACTTGGACTCCACAGTCCACTTCCCGCAGCAGCCTCGTCCCGAGGCCTCCTGCCTGTGGCCAGGCCTCCTCCCATCCACACATCATACTCCAGAGACGTGGCCCGCAAATCCCACTTCTGACCCTATCATGACTGCCCCGTCACCTATAGGAAGGAATGACTGAATTCCATGCCAGGCTTCCAAAGCTCTGCAAATCCTTCTGCTGCTGCGTATGTTACATGTCGGTCTATTTCTGAGAGGCAGGGCCAATGTCTGAGGCATTTGTGTTCTCAGGGACCAGCACAGGGCCCGATCACCGGAGCTGGGAAATAATTTCACTGGGCGAATCCCACACCTCCCTGGGTGTTTCCTCATATGTAAAACGGGGCTAATAATTCCTGCCACGCAAAGGCCTCAGAATATGGTGAGGCTCCAAGTCGATTAAGCGGAGGAGTGTGCCCCGAACAGGACAACAGCGGTAGGAGAAGTGTTGACCGTCCAAACACTGGGTGCTTTGTTGGAGAGAATGCCAGGTCTAGGTTCTCAGCAGGGCTGCTGCTGGCTGGAAATAGAAAGTCGGCCCCAGACCTTTTTTGAGAGAAGTTCTCAGGCTAGAGGACAACCCAGGACCTGGTACAGCCTGCCACCTCATGACCACACACAGAACTGCAGCACCACGCGCACCTCTGCTGTGGAGCAAAGATGGCGATTCCCCTTCAGAGCCAAGAGAAGGCAGGCTGTGTGCGTGTGCGTGTGCGTGTGTGTGTTGGGGGTGGGTCGACTTGTTCCAAGCCACACAGTCAGCCCGCTAAGACAGGAAAGGGACAGCTGTACGCCAACCTGGCTCTTCCGCTGACTTCCTAGCTGTGTGACCGTGAGCACATCTCGCCTCTCCTGTTGTGAGGAAAGCCTGCAGGGACAGGCCCCCCAGGGGTGCCCGGGGCCTCAGGTCCTACCTGTGAGATCAGAGCATCGGTCTAGTCGGGGTTCTTAAAATAGTCATCAAATGTGAAACACAAGTTTGTACACCTTAACCGATGCACTGAATGAGATCTAGGGCAGGTCTAATGATTTCTGCAGTGTCGGGGTAGTAATGAGATCTGCCCCAATCCCCGTGGGACATGGCGACGCCCGCCGCTTCTGCTGCTAACAGTCACAGGTTCTGCTAATACTACTGACATCTCTTGCCTACATTCACGATGATAAATTTCTTTTAGAGGTTAGTGAAAACAAGAAGCATTTTGTTTTCCTCGTCCAGGTCCGCAAATCCCCTGAATTCTTCTCCCTTCCGACCAGAGGGGTCCACAGACCCCGGCGTAAGAAGCCTTGGTGATGAGGGACCACATACTGACTCGGTTCCCTCTACGACATCACTTTGCTTTTGGGAACAGGTGCGAGACCCAGAACAGAGCAGAAACACAAATCTTTAAACGAATCTCAAAACCAGCTGAGCAGGTCTGGCGTGCGGGTGGGGCAGCCCAGGCCCTGGGAGCCCAGAGGCAGCAGCATCAACTCCTGCTGAGGACCCTTTAGCAAAAATTCATCAGGTTCTGTACCGCACAGAGAGGCCGAAGAGCAAAATTCAACAGCAAAATAGAAATCTGCTGCGCTGACCCCACAATGAGCATTCACCTCGTGAGAAGGACAGAACTAATATCACGTGTAACCATCCAACCACCTGCCCACCTACCCAGTCTCCCCTTCTGCTGCCTGCTAGACCCCCTGCCCCAGGTTGAGACCAGACAAGGTCTGCAATCCAGGGATGTAAGGGGCACACTGGGCACCTTCACTGCTGGTTAATGAGGCAGACAAGATGCCTGACCTCACAGCACTTAACCCCAGCAGGGAAGTGAGATATTAACATGGACCCACAGGTACACACACAAGACTTAGTTACGAGTAGAGAGAACGACGCAAAAGCAAGAGGTGATGGCGCCTGGTGTATGAGCAGAACTCAAGATGTACACGGAGCATCACCCTACTTTACATGTGCGAACCCAAGGCTTTCGGTGACCCACCCAAGGCTTACGGTGACCCACCCAAGGACAGCGAGCAGAAGAGCCAGGATTCAAACGAGGATCTTGTCTCTACATCAGGACCCCCTTCACCAGGGTACTCAGCGAGCCTCCAAGAAGCATCCCTGCCACGGCCCCTGTGTGCTGACTGCCCCATCCCTCAACCCGCGTGCTCGGGGTCCTCACCTCCAGATCACAGAAGAGCAGGGGGCTCCGGTAGGTGTGGGCCAGCTTCATGACGGTGTTCCGGTGAATGCTGCAGTGGCTCTCCCGCCCAGCTGCAAAGAAGCCACGGCCTGTAATCTCTACCTTCATGACTGTAATCTAGGAAGCACTGGGCCAAGTAGTTCACTTCCCCTCTCTGGGCCTCAGTTTCTTCCTAGTCAGTGGGGTAACAATCCTGTTCTACCTTCTTTTCAGGGCAGTCAAGATCATCAAATCAGAAAATAGGCTGAAGGGGCTTGGAGAGAGTGCTCAATAAAAACGTGAATTTCCTCATCTGTGAAATGAGGATAGTAACAACCCCTACCCTGCTTGAGTTACTATAGAGATTCAATGAATGAATACACAGAAGTGACCTGGTGTTCATTTATCCACCAATGCTTACTGAGAATAATCTGTGCCAGGCCCTTCCTGCAAGGAGCTCGCAGTGCAGCTGGCGGGGCAGGCACACCATCAGTGTAGGTAGAAGGGTTAGGAGTCTCTGACAGAGGCATGTGTGGGATGGATACCCTGAGGGCCCAGACTGCAGGGCTGGTCAGGTCCCCCAGGAGGCAGAAAATAAGGGTTAGCGAGATAAAGAAGAGGAAAAAGTATTTGAGAGAAGCCACATGGTACAATCATTAAAGGCATGGGCTCTAGAATATGACTCTCTAGGTGTGAATCTCTGCTCTACCACTGCTCAGCTGCGGGGCCTTGGGCAAGCTACCTAACCTCGTGACCACAGTTTCCTCCGCTGCAAAACAGAGAAAATAGTACCTACTACAGTAGTACCTGTCGTGAAGATTAAGTAATATAGAAACAAAGCACTTAGGACAGTGTCTGGTCTATTGTGAGTGCTCGATATAGAGTAGCTATTATTATTTCCACTGTTAATATTACCAAGTTTCAGAGAACTATAAGCTGAGCCAAAGAAGGGAAGAGTAATAGGAGATAAGACAGGAAGGCAGGGGCCAAACTGCAAAATACTTTGTGCCTTTACAGGAGTTTGGATTTTACTCTGAAAGCCACAGAGAGCCACTAGGCACCTCTGAGCCGTTATCTCAGCAGAATTAACTTGGCAGACTGATCAGCTCAGATTTGCTTTATAAAGACTGACAACAACAGATTCCAAAATGCATGTGTTTTCCATCACCCAGGCTGTCTTTGCAAGGAGTCCACCACAGGCCCAGCCGCAGCCTGCCCTGGGTTGGCGAGGGAGGGGGTGAGCGGCGGGGGAGGGATGCACTTACCGCCTGTGGCAAGGAAGCTCACCTTCCCCAGGAAGAAGGTGGCATCCACACGGTGCAGGGACTCCTCAACATTCCGGAGGCTGCAGTGGCCAGGGCGAGAGAACGAAGCAGAGGACAAACCTCACAACAGAGAAAGCAGAAGCTGCCCCGCCTCTGCTCCCAGAGAGGCCAGAGAATGAGAGGAGGGTGACAGGAAAACGCCCTAGAGGAATACTTTGTCCTTTCATATCTTTAAACTACATTTTTTTTTAAATTTATTTTTTTGTACAACAGGTTCTTATTAATCATCCATTTTATACACATCAGTGTATACATGTCAATCCCAATCTCCCAATTCATCCCAGCACCCCGCTCCCACCCCGGCACTTTCCCCGCTTGATGTCCATAAGTCTGTTCTCTACATCTGTGTGTCTATTTCTGCCCTGCAAACGTTCATCTGTTTCATCCCAGCACCCCGCTCCCACCCCGGCACTTTCCCCGCTTGATGTCCATAAGTCTGTTCTCTACATCTGTGTGTCTATTTCTGCCCTGCAAACCGGTTCATCTGTACCATTTTTCTAGATTCCACATATATGTGTTAATATACAATATTTGTTTCTCTCTTTCTGACTTACTTCACTCTGTATGACAGTCTCTAGATTCATCCACGTCTCCACAAATGACCCAATTTCGTCCCCTTTTATGCTGAGTAATATTCCATTGCATATATGTGCCACATCTTCTTTATCCATTCATCTGTTGGTGGGCATTTAGGTTGCTTCCATGACCCGGCTATTGTAAATAGTGCTGCAATGAACACTGTGGTACATGTCTCTTTTTGAGTTATGGTTTCCTCAGGGTATATGCCCAGTAGTGGCATTGCTGGGTCAGATGGTAGTTCTGTTTTTGGCTACTCCACGCGGCTTGTGGGATCTTAGCTCCCCGACCAGGGATGAACGTGGGCCCTCGGCAGTGAGAGCGAGGAGTCCTAACCACTGGACCGCCAGGGAATTTCCCAAACTACTTTTAATTACAAAGTGACTCAAGTTCGTAATATAATCAAACAGTAAATACGGGTGTATAAGTAAAAAGTAAAAGTCCCCGTCTCCAGCACCACCTTCAGTTTCAACTCCCCAGAGATAACCGTTGCTGACAGTTGGGGGTGTAATTCTTCTGGAATATTTTTCATATGCAAATACAGACAGTGATATGTACCAGCATCCAGTTGGGTCTAACTGGGTTCGACAACTCTGTTACATTCTTTGGAATGACCACACAGTACCACAAACTACTTTCCCTGTGATGGACATTTAAACGGTCTCCTGTTGTTCACCGTTACGAAAGATGATGCATGAATTTTCTTTCCCACAGGTCCTTACATATCCAAGCAAATGTTTCTGTAGGACAGATGCTAGAAGTGGAAAGGCTGGGTCACAGTATGTGTCTTTTTCAAGTGCAGATAAGTATTGCTGAATTGCTCTCCATTAAGATTACAGTGATTTTAAGTCACATCAATCATATGAAAACGCTCTTTTCCTCTAAGCAACGGCACCCTGACCTTCTGGGTTGAGGCTTTCATTCACTCGTGTCCAGGGAGTGATGAAGGAACCTGTTGTCTCCTGGCCAAAAAGCCATCTCAAAGGTCAGGCTTCAGCCTGAATGAACACAGCCTGAGGCCAACAGCAACAGCGGCCCTGCCCCTAAGTGTGGCTGTGAAGCAGGATCTCTCCAGAGACTTGGGCCAGTGTCCCTTCTGGTGAACAGAGAGATCTCACCCAAAGAGCAACAGATCTGCTGAGCCAGGGCCCTCTGGCAACCATGGCAGATCTCAGGCCCACCTGGGCCTAAGTCACCGCTGACTGGTTCCAACCGGTCAGGTAGTGCGGTCTGGACTTGGTCCTGATGCTACAGGTATCTGGTGTCTCTATGCCACTGGATTCCCAGGTGTTTCCACCACATCCTTCCCTTGATCCCTACCACAGGCCCAGGTATCTGCCTTGGTTTCTGTGCTGGATCCTGTGTCCTGCTTTTAGCCTGCTGTCCCCCAGGAGGGAGAAGGCAGACCTTTCTTCTGTACTCCCTAGGCTGGCTGCAGTCCTGTCCCCAGGGTTGCCAGCACCATAGGGAGACCAGATCAGGCCACCAGCATCAACACCACCCATGCTGCCACTGCCATGGCCCCACGCTAGACTGGCTCTGACGCTGCACAGGCCTCGACAGTCCTCTGAACACACTACGCTCCTCCTGCCCTTTACATTAACCCTCCACCTGGAACATTCTGCTCACTTTCATCTTTCCCTGGCTAATTTCTCGTCATCTCTCAGGTGTCTATTTAAATGTCACCTCCACCGGGAAGTCTAGCCTGACCTAAGTTCTGAGACTCAGAGGTCTTGTTTGGGCTCTCACAGCCCTATGCTTCCTTCTTTTTACAGTACCCATCGCAGGTACTGTAACTGTCTGTTCAAAAGTCTAGCCTCCTCCCCTTATGGACCTTGAGGACAGGGGTCTGTTTCATTCATGTCTGTGCCTGATGTCAGGGATACACAGTAGGCCTCAGAGAGCCTAATGACAGATGACACTGATGGCATTTATCAGTGTCTTTTAAACACCTTGCATTGGCCACTGGCTCCCCGCTGCTCACCGTCTAAGTTAACCCCAGGCAGCCTCTCCCTGTTTCTTCTCCTTCCCATCACAAGTGAGGCCACTGTCCCAGCACATCCCCGCGCCAGGTCTACCTGAGCCCGGCAGCCCCCATCCTCTGGCTCTCACCTGTGTTTGCTGTGAAGGTTGACCACGAACACAATCAAGTCAATTCGGGGCCGATTCACATTGGAGGGCAGAGGGAGGGACTTTGCCAAGTGGCTGAAAAACAAGAAATTGCAGGACTAAATACGTACCCACATCACAATGACTGTTCACAAGCTGCCCGTCACAGGGAAGAGGCTGTCAAGAGCTCCTCTCCTATTCACCTAAAGCAAGACTTTTCAGGTGAGCACAGGGGCAGGGCAGAGCTGGTCCTATCCAGATGACTCCTGCTCTACTCTCCCTGCCAGAAAGTTTAGTAACTGCCTTGGCAAGAGGGAGTTTTGGATATAAGATGGCATGAGGCTAGACATCTACACTGCATGCTGGGAGGGAGACCAGGCTCAGAAGCGGGGACTGTGAAGTTTAGGTGTTAAGATTGAAGCTCTTTGGAGTAAGACAGAAGTGGCCCCAAATCCCAGGTCTGCCAATTATCAGCTATGTGACCTTGGGCAAGTCACCCTCATCATTCTTGTCTGGACTTAGTCTCCGATTGTCAAATACCCACCTGAAGCGTTTTTTTGAATCCTCTACTTCTGCCCATTTCCACATATGACTATTACTCATCTGCCCCCCACCCCTCAGCTTATAATTTAAGAATACCAAAAAGTATACAAAACACAAAAGTTAAAAAAGAAACACATACTCCTAAAAGTTCAGTTACCTAGAAATAACTACTATTAACATTAGAACTTTTTTCTAAACATCTCTCCATGTACACAATGTATACACATTCAGACACTAGAATACAGTAGATATAATCGAAAAATAGGGGGGAGTTCCCGGGCAGTCCAGTGGTTAGGATGTAGCACTTTCACTGCCGTGGCCCAGGTTCAATCCCTGGTCAGGGAACTAAGAACCCGCAAGGGGCATGGTGCGGCCAAAAAATAAAAATAAATAAAAATAGGATAATAGTATTAATTTTATCTGAATTTAGTGGAAGCAAAATAACTAAAGTAGAACTAAAAAAAAGATGAACTTTGGATAAATTATTTTTTAATCACAAGAAATTATTTCCTCAAAGAACCCAATTAGGGCTTCCCTGGTGGCGCAGTGGTTGAGAGTCCGCCTGCCGATGCAGGGGACACGGGTTCGTGCCCCGGTCTGGGAAGATCCCACATGCCGCGGAGTGGCTGGGCCCGTGAGCCATGGCCGCTGAGCCTGCGCGTCCGGAGCCTGTGCTCCACAACGGGAGAGGCCACAACAGTGAGAGGCCCGCGTACCGCAAAAAAAAAAAAAAAAAAAAAAAGGAAGAAAAAAAAGAACCCAATTAAAAAAAGATTATGGAATAAATGAGTAAGCTGGTATCATTTTTAACAGTTTTCATTTTACCTATATGGGATTGATTATTATTAAGAAAAGTGAGAAAATTAGCATTCTTATAATCTACCTTACCATTTGGACAAAACTTACAAATGTAATTTATATTGCTATTATTAATGGTATTATTATATACATTTATATTTTGCTCTAACCATAACTTCAGACCTCAGCTAATGAAGTTGCCACTCTAGAACATGAGAGAGACAAAGGGTACTGAGGAAGGTCTCTCACTGGCAACTAAATGCTTCAGCAATAAAGAGACAATCATTTTTGCTCACAACTCATTGGCCAGAACTAGTCACATGGCTCCACATAACCACAAAAGGTCAAACCTGGTTCCTGCCAAATACCACAAATGCAGAGAGCTGAAAATACTTGACAGCAGAATGAACAGATGATCATATGGGTGATTTGCTTCTCCTGCCTAAAAGTCTGAAGAATTATTTACTTCAGAAGTAAATAATTGTCCATTTTTCCTGGAACAAGATATATGTACCCTTTTTAATGGACAAATTCAACTCTTCACTCATTCCAGGGAAGTCTTCTTCTATTACACTTCAAACACTTTTGCTGTAATCTTCTCAAATCTTTCTTCTTTGTAGATAATTAAGTCTTTAACCACATCTACTCTGATCCTTGCTGTTTCTATGTATTTATTAGATAGATCTCATATGGTATTATTTTTCACCTTTTTTGTACTTAGCTCTGCAACCTCTCTTTTCCTCTCATTCTGTTGTGTTATTATTTGGTCTTTGAACGCTTCTTTTAAAAATTCATATTCCTATTAAATTTCTCAATGGCACAAAGCACTCAAAAAGGAGTTTTCTTCCCCTTTTCCCAGAGTGGGTTCTTCATCAGATTTTTTGCATGTCATGTGACTCTTTTTTGCCAATGGTTTCCATCTTGCTTAATGTAGGCAATTTTGTCCACGTTTTCCATTTACTCTGATGCTAATTAAATTAATTTTTTTGACTTTTTTTTTTTTGGCCTTGCCCCATGGCATTCGGGATCTTAGTTCCTGGACCAGGGATCAAACCCGTGCCCCCTGCAGCAGAAGCGCAAAGTCCCAACCACTGGACCACCAGGGAAGTCCCAAATTAATTTCTTTTTTTTATCCTTTCCAATCTCTGAGCTATGGGTTTGAGATTGTTGGTTACTGTGTTTGGTGTTCTATAGCCAAAGAGCCTCGCAAGATAGGTAGAGCACAGATGGATATATGAACAATCTTTATTTTGAGGGAAAGATTATGTTGAAGGAGAATGATCCAAATCTAGAGGGTATTTCCTCTGTGGGAATTGGAAATGCCCCATACTAGGTAGAATAAGGGAACATAATCTTTCTATCAGGAAGAATGACAACCACATGTATTCAGTCACTTGACTCCTGCCAGCAGCTGTTTCTAAAAAGGAAAACAAAATATACTTTAGTTACTTTTTCTCCAAATTTGGGGGTTATCTGAGCATGTACTCTGTGCCAAGTATTGCTCAAGGCACTGGGGATTCACCAATGAGCAAAAGTCAAAGTCCCTGCCCTCAAGCGGCTGATGTTGGGGTCCCTAGGGGTGGCAGACTGGAAACAAGTAAAGAAACATGGAGACTTCTTATAGTGACAAGTGCTAGAGGAAAATAGAAAAACTGTGTGACAGGGATGGAGGATGCCTTTGGACGGGGACAGATCACGCGTTAGGACGGAGTCTCTGAGGGGTTGGTCAACCGGCTCTACCTGTGACCGCCTCTCTGGTGGTCCCCCTACAGCCAACCCCGCTCTCCCTTGAGCCCAGGCCAGCGATCGGACACCCCCAGCATAAGGCTACTTACACCTTCAGCTCCGATGTGCAATCCTCCTTGAGCATCGCTTCGGCCAGCTGCTGCAGAAGAGCATCCTCCGTGCCCACCAGCTGCCCAGAGAGAAAAGGCGACCGACTGATACCTGGACACAGCAGTCCCGCTGGAGGGCCCGGACTGCCGCGAACCCAAGATTCTGGCTCCAGCGCGCGAGGCACCCTTTTACCGAGAGGACTCCGGCAGAGGGCCCGAGGTTTGCACCCTCTCCGGTCCTGTCCGGAAAGCACTCACTACCTCCCCGGACCCTTCCTGGAAAGACCTCGTCTCTCCCGGAGGTCCGATCCCTCTACGCGGGAAAACCGAGTGTTGGACACCCGGCACCCCGCCCCGCGCGCGGTCGCCCCGCCCAGCCGCCCCACCAATCAGAAACTGCGCACTTATTGGTGGGGACGTCCCTCAGCCTCAGAAGAGCGGCTACTCCGATTGGTTCAGAGTGTGGCTCTCCAGCCCACCACACCCCAGCCAGAATAGCCCACGCCAGCACCTCAGAGAGCGCAGGGGACCTGGCGGCCTGGGAGGAAAGGCGGGCGGGAGAATCTGGGCTGCTGACGCCTACCAAGATGGTGGCCGTGTTCAGGCCAGGCAGTTTGTCCAGCGGCCGCAACACCGACATCCCAGGGACAGGCCGAACCGCCGCTCGCGCGGTGCGCGCGGACTTTCAAACCACCCAGTGGCCCACCCCTTGTGCGTAATCGCGGGTCCCGTGACAGTGCCTGGGCGGGGACTTCGTGGGGGGCGGGGCAGGGTCTTCTTAAAGGAACCATTACCGCCTTTTCCGAGGGGAGGTTCCACCGCTGGCTCTAGGCACGTAGGGTGCTGCCTGCGGAACAAGACTTTTATTTCACGACTGGGAGAAAGAAGCTATTCAGTGATTCCGTTATTCATTTTCATTCATTCGTGCTCATTCAAGGTGCTCTTGATTCCTTCCAAACCTGTCCCTCACACATCTTCTCCATCTCAGTTGACTCCGTCCTTGCAGCTGCTCAGAACAAAGTCTTGGGTCATTCTTGGCTCCTCTCAATCCGTAAGCAAGCCTGTGGGTTCTATTCTTAAAATGCAAGAAGCCGACCATTTCTCACCACCTCCACCCCACCACCAGGAGAAGCCACGCTCCTCTCTCACCAGGTCTACTGTAAGAGCCTCACTGGCTCCCTGCTTCCACCCTGGTCTCCAGGGCTACTGGCTATTCTCCACACAGTAATCGGAGCCATCGTTTAAAAAGAGAAATCAGAGCAGGCCACTTCTCTGGTCAAAACCCATCGATAGTTCTCCTCTCGCTCAGGTACATTGCAAATGCCTTACAGGGCCTTTGAGGCTCTGGGGGTTCTGGCACCTGAGAGTCTCTCTGGCCTCATCTTCTGCCCTTCTCCCTCTAACAACGGCTCTAGGACCCCTGGCCCTGTGGTTCCCTCTGGATGAAATGCTTTCCTCCCAAATAGTCACATGGCTTGTTTCCTCACTTGATTCATGTTTCTGCTGCAATGTCACCTCATCAGAGGGGGCTTTCTTAATGACCCTATCTAAAATAGCAAGCCCTCCCATAATCCCTCTCTCCCCTTTTCTGCTCAGTTTTCTCAATAGCACTTCACATATTGACTAGAACTGGGCAGCACCTGAGATTTTACAAACAAATAAACTGTTACTGTTTATTACTGTTTAGTAATAGTCTGTTACCTTTTCATGGATGCTGCAGAAGACATGAAACTCCTGGGTAAGGGACAAAGGACATTATTACTCAAGGTAAAAGCAGTAGCTGTGGCTTTACCTTTGTTTGTGTCATTTTCCCCACGTCCTGCAAGCCCTGCAAAGGACCCACCCATCATGTTTGCCTGTACACCTCGTGGATGGCGTTATAGGAGAGGAACACAGAGGTTAGAAATTCACCACTTTTATAGTGAGTGGTAGGCATGCCTGTCCTTTTTCCGGTTGCTTGTTTTTCCTGTTCTTTTTCCAAGCCTCAAGGTTGCTTGCTGCAAAAACAAACCCTTAGAAATGGCCTGGGTAGAGCTTTCAGAGCCTTGCTTTCTTGGCATGCCCAACAAGAACCTGCAGGGACTCAGACCCCACAGCAGATTGCTTCTCCCAACAGTTATATAATTATCTGCTCATTGTCTCTCTCTCCAACTAGACCATAAGATACATGAGGGCAAAGATTTTGTCAGGTTGTATGTCCAGCACTTTAAAAAGTGTCTGGTACATAGTAGTTGCTCAAGAAATATTTGATGAATGAATGAATTGATTTATATCTGTTTGTTTATTCTCAGCAGTGATTCATTCATTCATTTCCTAGGGCAGACCCAATGCCCCATCCTGGGAACACAGATGAATCAGACATTACTGACCAACTCAGTGTGATGGGGGAGTAGGACCGTGATCTCACAGTGTGTTCATTACTGTGACATCTGGGAGAAAAGAGGTATATTCCTGTCTAACCTAAATCCTTCTCACTGCGAACCAAACTAGTTATACCTTGCTTAGAAAGAGCAGGAAGTACATGGCTTAAGGGAGCCCCTGCCCCAGCACAGATGGTGCTTTGATTCCCCATGGCACGGGGCATGGAGGGGACTCCCTGACAGTCAGGTAGTAGTAAGTACTAGGAAAATAAAGTAAGGTGGGCTAGGGGATAGAACGTGATGGGTAGGAGGAGGCACTTTAGGTCAGGGGAGGCCTAGCTAAGAAGGTGATGTTTGGGCAGATGTCTGCATGCGGTGAGAGAGGAGCCAATTAAATATAGTGAGGAAGGGAGGGTGGGAGGAGACGCAAGAGGGAGGGGTTATGGGGATACATGTATACATATAGCTGATTCACTGTGTTATACAGCAGACACTAACACACCACTGTAAAGCAATTATACTCCAATAAAGATGTTAAAAAAATAATAAAATGGGAAAAAAGAAAAATGCTAAATAAATAAATAAATACAGTGAAGAACGGGATTCAGGCAGAAGGAGCAGCAAGTGATAAGACCCAAAGGGGGGGGCATCCCTGACACTTCTGAGGAGCAGCAAGGAGGCCAGTGGCTGAAGCAGGTGGGGTGAGGAGTGAAGGAGATGAAGCTGGAGAGCTGATCGAGGGCCAGGTGACTGAGGCCCTTAGAGAGTCAAGGCAAGACGTTGGACCCTGCTCAGCACGGTCCAGGAGGGGCTGAGCTGAGGCCCATTCAATCAACCTGTGCTGAGTGCCTGCCTTGGGCCAGGCCTGGTGCTGGACACTGTGACCCAGGCACAGAGGTTTCAATGGTGGACGGACAGATTACAACAGCCAAAGGCAGCACAGTGGGTGAGAGCCAGCATGGGAAGCAGCTGGAGCCCAGATGAAGGTGCATTAAGGCTCCCTGGGGGGCCCCCATTACACTTTGCTGGGGAGGTGACTGTTGGCTGAGGGGTCAGGTGAGTTGGTGGTTGTCCCATAGGTAGTGCAATAGAACATAGTTTTGTGTAAGACCCATACTGTGATGAAGTGTAGAGACTGGCAGGAAGCCCAGACCCAGGCCTGGAGGTTCTTGTATCATCAACACCCAGAACTTGCAGGGCCATCGGAGACCCTCTGGGCCAGTGTTTTTCAAACTGACTTCTGCGAAACCCTGGGGAGATGCCTCAGGGGCACCGGGAGGGGCAGGGGAGAAGCTGAATACATAAGGCCCAGAAACCCCACCCCGCCATTTAACAGAAGCAGCTCTGGCTTCATCTCTATTACATATTGAGCTTCCCATAAACTTTTTTGTGAATAAAGAATCACGTGGCTAAAACAATATCTAAGGGCTGCTGATCACTTTTTAAAATAAATTTATTTATTTATTTTTGGCTGCGTTGGGTCTTCGTTGCTGCATGCAGGCTTTCTCTAGTTGCAGCGAGCGGGGGCTATTCTTCGTTGCAGTGTGCAGGCTTCTCATTGCGGTGGCTTCTCTTGTTGCGGAGCACAGGCTTTAGGCGCGCGGGCTTCAGTAGTTGTGGCACCCGGGCCCAGTAGTTGTGGTTCGAGGGCTCTAGAGCGTAGGCTCAGTAGTTGTGGCGCACGGGCTTAGTTGCTCCACGGCATGTGGGATCTTCTAGGACCAGGGATTGAACCCATGTCCCCTGCACTGACAGGCAGATTCTTTTTTTTTTTTTTTTCTGTACGCGGGCCTCTCACTGTTGTGGCCTCTCCCGTTGCGGAGCGCAGGCTCTGGACGCGCAGGCTCAGCGGCCATGGCTCATGGGCCCAGCTGCTCCACAGCATGTGGGATCTTCCCGGACCGGGGCACGAACCCGTGTCCCCTGCATCGGCAGGCGGACTCTCAACCACTGCGCCACCAGGGAAGCCCAGACAGGCAGATTCTTAACCACTGCGCCACCAGGGAAGTCCCCGGTTTATCACTTTTAAAAACAGATTTATTAAGGTGTAATTGACACATAATAAGCCACACATATTTAAGGTGTACAGTTTGGTAAGTTTCGATATAAATATACACCCAGGAAGCCACCACCACAATCAATTTATAATGAACGTATCCATTACCTCCAAAAGTTTCTCTGTGCCCCTTTCATCCTCCCCCACCTCCTCTCTGCCCTCTCACTCCAAACTGTTCAATGGCACTTTGCTTATTATAGTTCAATACTGGAAATGCCCCAAATGTCCTTCAGTGGTGAACAGATAAGCTGTGGTACATTGGTAAGGCAACATCGTCAGTGCAGAGAAAAGCATTGTGCTAAGCAACAGAAGTCAGAAACAAAGGAGCATAGACCATAAGATTCCATTTATGTGAAATACAAATACAGGAAAAACTAATCTATGGTGACAGAAATCAGATCAGTGGGTGCCTTTGGGAAGGCGGTATTGACTGGCAAGAGACAGGAGGGAACTGTCTGGGATGATGAAATATCCTAGACATGGTCTGGGTGGCAGCTGCAAAGGTGTATACACAGGTAAACGTTCATCACTTAAGGTTTGTATTTTACTGTATGTACCTTAGATCTTAATAAAAATCTCTCTGGAAACTCAAACTCACTGCCCTTGGCCCACATATGCTGGAGAGGACACTCGCAGGACTCCCAGATGGTCCCACAGATGGCAGGGTGTCTGTAGGGTGGGGGACCCAGAAACCCAAAGCCATTTTACCCATAGCCTTTGCCACCTGCCCGTCCTCAGTTTCTGGGAATGGACTCCCCAGGGAGATGGTTCCTCGAAGACTCTTCCCCACCCCGTGGGCCTCCGGGGCTGCTCTCTCCTCCTGAGATGACAACCACTGCTGTTTCTGGAATGCTCACTGGGCCTCTGAAACTTTGCAAACACTCTGTCTCTAGCATAGGAGGGAGGACCCAGGCTTGGGAGGTGGACCCTCGCCTCCAGCCCACCCCCGCACACGCCCTGGCTTTGTCACTGAGAAGCTGAGTGACCTTGAAGGAGAGGGTAAGCAGCTTCACGTCTCTGAGCCGAAGGTGCCTCAACCCCAAAGTGGGCTTCAACAACTAACCAGCTGGAGGCCCAGATGAAGTGATGCGGGGCCCAGTCCTGGCCTGGCGGGGAGGGCTCCGTGACTGGGAGCCACGACCATCTCAGGCTGTATCCCAGCCAGGGGGCCCCCGGGGCTGGTGAGGCAGAACCAGGAGGGCAGCCCCTGCGAGCGGGACTGCA